ATTTAGGACTACTGTTTTTAGATTTACTAAATATAGTAGGCAAATATTTTTTCAAAATGCACTGAAAATCTAAACCTGAGAAACAGTAATAAAAGTTTTACTAAGTTTTAATAAAATGATTTACAGTGATGCTGTTTGCTAGCTAGTATGCTGACCATCCAATCAAAGGAGGAGAAAATGCTGACGTTATCGTTAGCCAGCTAGATGGCCCTGGTGTTGCCAACTCGAAATCTGATTGGTTAAAGCAACAGTTTCATTGCCATTGATTTAAGCTAACAGACGCCTGCGCTGTTGATTCTGAAGGCCTTAAGGCAGATTTCTTTGACCCTGGCAACACGATTGCTGAAATATGATTGGATAAAAGCTCTAATATAAACATACACTGCTGGAAGCAGTGCAACCAAGAGAAAAGCTATGAAATGAAGAGAATAGAGTAGACTATTGGAAATAATGTAATACACATTCATGAAAAAATATATTAAACTAAATCAGTGATTCTGATAGTGTTTAGGCCAGCAGAGAAGGCTTTGCTGGCCCTGACGGCCCACCACTGGATTTACAGTGACGTTTATGGCTGTAGCTCAACTTAATGTCCACAGATTATGACTCACACTGGGAAGGTCTGAAAGCCACTAATGTGTCACCCTCAAAATACTGCATAACGCCCTTCAGCTGAATGTAACATGTAACCGCTGGATCCAAGCGCATGCTTCAGCAGCTTTTCATCTTTTCCACCAACATCATATTCTCCCTCTTGATTGCAAGTGCTTCTGTCGGTTCTCCATCAGAAACTTCTAAATAGCTTAAAGAAAGTTCATAATAGAGTACTGAGAAATGTTACTACTTTATGGACATTTTTTTTAAGCCACAGAAAAAAACTAAACAAGAAAGGGCTAAGCTTAATATAGCATTTAATAATAAAAGGCAAATTATTATATTAAAGGTCATCCAGTTAACTTAGTAAATATCACAGAATAATGTATTTTTAAAAAATGGGAATGAGAACTGACCATGCATATCCGGGTAATCATAATATTGCTTTCTCCAGTGAAAAAGTAATCTCATCTGAATCAGGAGAGACATATGCAAAGATCAAGCACTGCTAACAAGCAAAAACAGTTCTAAACAAACATTTCGGTGGATTTTGTGAGAGGACAACAGGGGACAGAATTTTTTTTTTTTTTTTTTACTTGAAGTAGTGCTATTATGAATTATGTATTTTGTCTGGAAGCAATGATTTAAAGTTAAAATGCCTTGATGATGAATTTAATGAATACATTTAAAAAAAAAATGAAATTCCAATTTCCATAATGTAAATGTTAAGAGTTTTAAATTACTACTGTAATGAAAATTCAAAGAAATTAATATAACCACTGTATTTGTAGTGTTTATTAAAATACATTATTTAAATTTCATTTAATTAAAAAAAATTAAATAAAGGTTAATTTACTAATTAAGTTTTAAGGTACATTTTTTGATTAATATAATGATGTAATCAAACAAATTAATGGGGAAAAAAATTCACATAAAATACATATTATATACTGTATAATATAATTGTTTATTTAGCTATCAAACACAGATTGCACTGAATCTCTTTTTCTGTCATTCCAATTCCTATTCATTATCCTGTGGGACATGGCCAATTCAATTCAAATTCATCTTATTTGTACATTTTGTCTGTATTCTAAGTGCTTACTGGTTCCCTCTCTACAGCTGACTGACCTCAGTGCCTGTTGACAATCATCCTCTGTGTCACTTGAATAATTTCTCGTCTTCTGGGTGAGGCTGCACAAACATTGACTTGTCTTATGGTCTCATGCTGTCAGCGGGTGGTACACCACAAACTAATGTTTATTTAAAATGTCTCGCCATCGTTTACTCCAAGAGCTCTGAATGTTCTCTCACCACTGGGCTGACCCATCACTTTAAGTGGGGTTTGTACACTCTGCCTGTATATATTTATCAAGACGGCATCGACCCTGCAAGGCCTGGGCTTTTGTATCCCACGGCACAGTCGACAGATCCTTTCTGCATATAAAATGTGTCAGGAAGTATATAATTAATGTTAATGTCTGATCGAAAAGCGAGTTTGTTAAATCATCCGCTTATTTCAATTAACTGGCATGAATGTATTGACATAAAATCAAATGCATTTCTGACATAAATTCCCTTGTGTTTTCATACCATTAGATGTAAAACAGAATGGTTGATCTCCCCTCTAAATGATTAACTACTTTGAGCTTGAATGACTTTGCCTATACATTATTCATCAGTATATAAATCAGTTGTTTCCAACACAATAGAAAGGACTTTGCCAGGCCAGAGTTAGAGGTGACACGGATGCATATTTGATCATGCACTCCAGATTGCACAGAGATCCATCTGTTCAATGTACATGTGCTGATGCCATTGGCCACATGTCCGAATATTTAATATTCCCACACGATTCCAAAATGTTGCTAGGCTTTTTGGAAATGAACCCAGATGGAAAAGTCCTACGGATAATTGGTTCTCAAGGGAGGATGGGAAGAGAGGCTATAATAAGATGACATTTAAAAGAGTCACATACAGTAAGAACTATGAACAAATATAGAAACTAGGTACATTTGAAGAAAATATGACGGGTGCTATTTTGTCTCAAATTAAATATAGCCTACCCTCGTGTCTCTATGATATTCTGGTACTGAGATATGGCTAGAGTGTGCTGTTACATGGTTGCTAAGGTGTTCTGTATGGCTGCTAGGGTGTTTCTATGCAGTTGTTATTGTGTTAATGGATTCTTGATGGCTGGGGTCAAAAGAACCAACCCCCATGTCTCTCTAATACCCTCATCTCAAGATATGATGCTCCTTACTCCATTTTAAGGCAAATTTATGTTTTTTAGCTTGTTTATCATCTGCAGGCAGATGATCACATAGAAACACTATGATCATCTAGAAAATTCAAGATGCACACTTTGACATGTACCATTCATGCATTTAGCAGATATTTTTTCCAGTGTGATTTACATAGCATTCAAGATTTGCACTTTATCAGTTCATGAATTCCCTGGCAATCAAACCCATGACCTTGCCATTGCTAGTGTCATGCTCTACATGCCTTTGAAATATCATACATACACCTGTATCCTTTTTTTGGATCCCTGTTCATATTACCGGTAATATGCAGAAATGTTGTCTGGAAGAAGAAGAAATAAATGAGGGAAATGAGATGACTACATCATGATTTAAAGGCACAGTTCACTCAAAAATAAAAAATGTACTCACCCTCATGTTGTTTCCAAACCACTCTGACTTTATTTCTTTTGCAAAACACAAATTAAGATTTTGAAGAAATTTCCATGTTTTTCTCCATATAATGAAAGTCAATGGGATTCAAAACAACACTGGACCCCACTGACTTTGAATGTTAAGCACGAATATCTACATATATAAACAATGAGATCAGACTGATTTTAAACCATAGTAGTAGGTGTTGATAATGGTTCATGAATCATTCAAATGTAATTAATAGTAAAGCTATATTTATATGTAAAGTAAATTGATACACATTCTTTGATGTATTAATAAACATTTTAGAAACACTTACTATTATACAATTAATGTCTAATAAAGGTAGGTTTACAGCACCTAATTGATAGCAATTTAGTATTTTCTGTAACACAACTCCTTTACCACTGTTGTAACAAAGAATAACAAACATTAACTCTTTAAACATGAGCTAATTAAACAACAGTAATTTGTTAATTACAGTGACTACACATTTATCCCTACTTAATCCCCACCTAACTATGAATTAACAATAAACAAATAGTTTGTGAATTATTTATAAGCACTGTGCTATTGTATACTTGTTATACTTTTACCAGTATCTTCTTTTGTGTTCCACACAGAAGAAAGTCAAACAGGTTTGGAATTACATGAGGGTGAGTAAATGCTCAATTTTTAGGTGAACTCTCTTTAAATAGTGGAGCATATTTCAAATATGTGTGTACTTCACTATTAATTCAAAGAACAGTGGTGACAAACATGTCTCATGTTTGGCTAATGTACAATGACAGGAAGATATGTCAAACAATAAATGTACATGCACTATACCACTATTCATTCAATTTGTCCACCAAATCTATTTTTTCCCCTCTTGCCCCCTCACTCTCTCTCTCTCTACCCCTTCTTCCCTCACAGCCCACCCTGCACTGAGCCATAATGGTACATGCCATTAGTGAGCACATCTTGAGCAAGGAGGGGGTCTCTGCCTCGCCGAAGAGGCTACGTTAGAGCCACATAAACACATTTACAGATGTGTCTCCATGCGTTCTGACAGCCCGACTGAGCCACGACTGCCATGCTGAATGAAGACAGAGAAATCAGGGGGAGAGACGAAGAACAACCACCAAGCAAATTACCACAGCATTACTGCAGGGTCTTGCCCATATCCCTCTCTCTCGGATTGTGGGCTTGAGTGAGAGCACGTCTGACAGGGAAGACAGGAAAACAGGGGAGATCTACCGGCAGATTCATCCCCAAGGCTCCTAATTACAGCCCGTGTTTCCGCTTTGATCCAGAAGCCACAGCACAAACAAATACAGGGATGCTCTGACCAAAAACAAAGAAGAGAAGAGGAGAATAAGAAATCAAGAGAGACTCACAAAGACAAAGAGTGAGAGATGGAGGGATTTTTAATGAATGAAGCATGCAGCAGCATGTGGTGGAAATAACTGCATTTACGTAAGGTAAGACAAACCTTCTTTGTCTAATCTGTGTCTAATCTGTGATAGAGAACAACACAAAAAGGCACACAAATTCTGTGGTGACGAGCAACAACAGAGGCTGTGACTGCTGTTTCTCCCTCACGATTGAGAGAGACTGCTGCGTGGATGAGCCCAGGAGAATAAGCTACGCATATGTTAAGATGTACACGGGCATGAGCTTGTGACAGAGACCTGAGGCAAGCCTGAAGAAAAGAATCACTCGTAATCCGTACAGAGCTCAAAGAGCACCGTGGTGTCGGCTAGAAAGACAGCTGGGAACCTCGGGAAACAGTTGTGTTTGTGTATATATTCATGAGTCAATCCTCAGTATGGATCCGTTTTGCTTCTGTTGGATCTCTTGACAATAATGTACGTTGCATAAACTTAGGAATTTTAACATAATTTGCAACTCACCACTTTTAGGATATTTAGTCCAGGTCATCTGCGGTTCATTTTATATTTAGTTGCAGCTGGACAAAATAAGCATCAGTTTAATATGCATGTCAGATCTGCGCTGCAATGATAACCACACGCGTATCATAACAAAAGAAGTGTCAACACTAATGCCAGTTCACTGCTAAGGGGGTGCAGCACTGCTAGTTCTAATCTATACCTGGGTATTAGTGTTCAGTCATTAACGACTTAGTTTAGGGCCCCTCCCCCCACCTGACCCAGTGTCAAAACAAGCCTGCATGCTGAAAAACAACCCCGGGAACAATGCACGGCCGGTGCTTAGCAAAAGCGTGATGGTAATTAGATGGAGAAAGCGTTAACAAATATCGGTGCCATCAATGCGCTCTTTTATTGTGTAAAACCCAACTCTGCCAGCTGCTGAAGCAATAACAACCGTAGCTAAATATGTAAATCATTACATAAGAGCAGGAACAGTGCCGCTCCAGGGCAGGAATATGAAGCCATTAGTAAAGATGTGTAGCAATATCAACGGAAAGTACATCTCTTTAAGGATGAGTCTGGGATGGAGTTCCACATTAAGGAACAGATTGGGCAAGTCTTACTGGAAAGTTTAGCTCAAATGAGCCCATTGTGCCTTCAGAGGTTTATGAGATCATTTGTCACATATCTTGGTTGTCTCATCCTGAAGTGGAGAATCGCAAAAGTTTTGAGCAAAATACTCACAGAAGGTGATGAAGTCCTGTCCTTCATCATTATCAACATCACAGTTAACATGAAACGGCATTTTACTTGCCTAATAAGATGTATTCCCTATGAAACAGGATTTTCAATGGGAGAAATAAATGATTTTATTAAACTGGGAATTGATTGGATCATAAAAACCAGGTGCTCTGTTCTACACCAGATTGGACACAGACCTGAATGTAAGATTGCAGTGATTATTGATGACTTCTTCTATCCACTGGTACCTACTTTTAAATGAATCTTGGATCTTGTTGCATCCTAATTCTTAAGTATTTTTTTTTTTTTTTAATCTATAGTGATTATAGATTATTTCCACATTCTTTATTACATTAACACTAACAAGCATTGAATTACTATTGGCAAGATTTCTACATCAGTCTATGTAGTCAGTCTACATTACCTACAACAGTAGCCTAAAATAGTCTATGTAAACTGTTAATATAATATAATAGAATAGAATAGAATAGAATAGAATAGAATAGAATATATAAAAGCAACATCAAACAGCTAAGCTCATTTGCAAGAGAAAACAGATGTTAAAAAAATAGTATTATATAATTATAGTATATTACATTGCATATCAGAAACTATGCTACCAGTGAACTTTGCTGTTAAGTTGTCTCTCTCGTGGGAGCTCTCAAACCACTCAAACATTTTTAGCCTGCACTCAGCTTTGTGGTGTCAGTACATAGCAGTGTTGGCTTGTATTTCACTTTCAGCAATATTAAAGGCTCACAAACAAAACATGCATACTATATATATTCATCACAGTAATCTATAAAACCCCTGAATTATCAGCCATAACTCGTGTGATCACAGAGCGCTCGAGTACCAAAGGGACAGAGACAACGATTACAAAACAACAATATCATTCTACTCGTCAGATAAATTGGTGCGGTTGCAAGGAATTCTGGATTAAGCACACTTCAAAAATATTTTGAAGTCCTGTGGGTGAAAAGCATAATGTTTCTGTTGAAAACAGCTCTGACGTATAGACATTTGAAAGCACACTAGGCCGGAGCTACTTGCTGCAGGCACTCTTGCCCTCCCTCACACAAACTCACACAAGTTCACACACTCAACCTCTCTTGCTCACATGTGAACGATTTGTTAGTAGACAAACACTCTGATTCAAACTGCAAGTGTTATGACCCATTTCGCTCCTCTTCACAGGAAAACCCACATAAAAACCTGTTTTCACATGTGTCACACAGGCAAGGTTAGTTTGCTGAGGGAATCCAAGCTCTTGAAAGACTGTAAAGCGATTCACAATGTCATCTGAATCTCCATGCCATGAATATTAACCAGCACAATTGTTCCCTGAGTGAGGCTACCATGGCTGCATTATTCATTCATCCCGACGCTGCCACAAAGAGTTACACACCGCTATGGCCAGATCTGCTCTGTACCAGCTTGCGGTGCCCGATGTGGAGCGCTAGCACCCACACCCATAGCTCTCTCTCAATGGATAGCTAATGAACAGCTGAGAAACAGAATAAGGAAGAAGGAACAGAGGAAAAAGGCAGGAAAACAGATTGCCAGGCCTTAGGCTGGGCTGTTATTCTGCCTTCTTGAATTCAGCACTGCAGGGCTTTGAGGTTGTGTTTGGCTGCCATCTCTGGCCCACTTTAGTCGTGCAGTCGTATAGACACACACACAAACACAACTCCCATTACTGAACCATAACACCCCCAGGGACAGCAGCTGTTACCCCCGGAAGAGCTAGGCCCATAGTTGCAGAAGCGCTAAGAAGCTAAAGTGAGAATGCCAGGCCATATTTCCTAAGCGGGGTCCCATGTGGCCGCCCACCCTCCATGTGCCTAACAACTTCATCCATTCATGCTGTATATGGCTCACCTTTTTCTTAATGATGCCTGACAGCTGTATAGTAATGGCACAATCCTATTATGCTGAGTCCTGATTTTCTTGTCAAGAGAAGGTAATGATTGTGTGTATGTGTGAATGTGTACACTTCAATAAGCATCTTCATAAGACGACTGACATGCATTCTCGGCTCCTTTCTGAAGCACATGGGTGGCAGGGGTCCAGGAGCATGCTGTTCATACATACCTCACATGTGTTTGACAAAAGCAAATTTTCAATGACAAAAGCTATTCCATTTAGGAGGCAAGAGACATAACAAAACCAACATGAGTTTTTTTTTAATAGTCTACCATTGCTTGCTAAAGTGTTGAAGGGATCGCTCTTCCAAAAAATGAACATTCTGACATCATTTACTTTCCCTGATGCCATACAAAAGCTGCTTGACTTTTATTCTGTGGAATACAAGAATATTTTTGTCCATACAATGACAGTCAGAGCAGTCCAAAACAACAATGGATCCAACCGGCTTTCATTATATGGAACATTTTTCAAAATATCTTCTTTTGTGTTTCACAGGATAACACCACTGAGGTTTGGAATGATGACCCTTTTATATGTAATTGATTTTTTCAAAATATCTTCTTATATGTTCTTTAGAAAAAAAGAAAGTCATATAGATTTGGAAACATAGATTTTTAAATTTACTTTTTTTTCCCAATTATTCCATCTTATATTCTCGATATATGAAGTGTTACCTTGGTAATGTTTCATTACTTTTTGACAGCATTAACATTAAATATCCAATAAAAATAACACTTTAATGCAAAGGTACCTTTACCAACTCTACCCTCTGACCAGTACATGACTTCTGCTAATTCTGCAGTCAGCTAATTCTGTGCATATTCAGCAGGAAAACATTTCTCTAAACCATGTTTATAAAGAATAGGTAAAATTAGTCAAGAGCGATTCATAAAGGTCATGTTCTTGCGAAGAAAAAAAAACCCTAGGCAGAATGGAATGAAACAGGCATATTATTGAAAAGCTTTCAACCTGAAAAGTAGTTCAGTTAGAACACTGATGAAACAGGTAATGCAACAACCACAAGATTTCTGTCTTGTGTGTACAACAAAGAGAGAGAGAGTGAAGACGTAATCTGGGAACGTTCCCCACGTGAACTGTCTCTAAAATGGGTGATTTCACTAAGTGGGGAGAATGTTCAGAGCACAAATCCTGTCTGTTCTTACGCTCTTACTGCTGAAAAGTCTGGAGTGTACCACATAAATGTCTATAAAGGCACTGTGAACTTTACAGCGTTCTTGATGAGAATGCATAAGGAGCACCAAGAGCCATGAGGGGATAATAAGCAAATGACCTTTAAAAACAATAAAGTCTTCCTTTAGTAAATCTAATTCTGGTAAGTATCTGTCCTCTGTGTCTGTCCTCTGGAACAGCAGTAATACATAGAGCCCCCTCCCCACATGTGCTATTCCGTCTGGCAACAGCCCCCAGTCCCTCAACAGCAGCTGCTGCTATGCTCACGATACGAGCACTGTTAAATATCTGCGACCAATCAGATTTTCTAATCCTGTAGATTCACTATATAGTGACCATGACCATTTCATCTCTGGATACCAAGTGCATTCATATTTAATTTAAATCTTCAATCATGTCCTTCTTACAGTGTGAAACGGGATAGACACAGCAAAGCACCTGGCCCTAATGATTTGGCTGATGTTTGAGAAATTCAGTTCTGCTGAATGCAGAATTAAAATCAAGTTGTTGTTTGTCCTGTGTTAAATATCTGCGACCAATCAGATTTTCTAATCCTGTAGATTCACTATATAGTGACCATGACCATTTCATCTCTGGATACCAAGTGCATTCATATTTAATTTAAATCTTCAATCATGTCCTTCTTACAGTGTGAAACGGGATAGACACAGCAAAGCACCTGGTCCTAATGATTTGGCTGATGTTTGAGAAATTCAGTTCTGCTGAAT